ATCAGTTGTTTTACATTTCAAAGGAGGGACCAACCTTAGTATTTTCACAAATAGATATCGATAAGTCAATAAAACATGATGTTTATGTAAGCTAATGTGTAATTATCTACAATTATCTATAATTGCAGATAATTATATAACATGAATCCAGAACTCCAATGTTTGTTAACCATTACTCTCTGACATACAAATGAATTCTGTTCAGTTATTAGTTGTGATGCACAGGATTTAAAAATGGATAAGATACACTTAGTTTTTAAATTCTGAAATCAGGTGCTTCTCATAATCAGTGTTCAAAAAATTGCTGATTATATTTTATACAAAAAGTTTCCCTTTAATGTATGACATGTCTTGCAACCAACTTTGTTTCATAAAGACGCAGAGGATATTGTACCATCATGTGTCTAAAGATCTTTTGTGGATATGTTTATAACACTCAATTAGCCTCCATGATCCTTTATGCATTCCAATTATTTATTTTTACTATGAAGTACTTATTAACTATTATTCTACCTTAATCAGTAAATGCCATGATGTAGAGGTCATAGACTTTCCGATATTTGTTAGTTTTTGTTTTCAATGGCCAAATTGTGAACTATGAACAAGTATCTTAGTAAAAATAGGGAGAAGCAATTACCTAAGTCATAACATGCTTGGACCAGCCTTGCTCCCTTAAATAAAAGTAAAAAAAATAAAAGCACTGAAATAACAAAAGGGGGTTCTAATTAGGAACAGAAAATCATCTCAGATTCAGATCTTACATAAGTTGTCCTAAAATTCTAATTTTTATGTTAAATTTCTTTTAAAAAAGCAAAACCAAATTAATGTAATAATATTTTAAGATAAAGTTCAATTATACCCTCAGTTATGCCATCTTGAGCTTTTATGGAACTAGCTACCTTTCTATTTGCTTGAAATATTTTTAAATTATTTCATTATCTCCCTATATTATTCCTGTGGTACAATACATGTGAGCTCAATATTTTAATGCCTTTGCTTAGGATAAGGCTAGAATCTAACTTCAGACTGAGAACAGAGAATGGATAGTAATACCATCATCATGAAAATAAGTGTCCTAACTTTCCCCAGTCATCTGAAATCCTCTATCACCACATTATCATCATAAGCTTTTCCACAGCCATTCTGATATGTTCAGATTGCCTATTCATTTAGAAAATGTTTATTTTGCACTGTGAGTCAGGTGCTGTGCTAGATTCCTGGAATTTAGAGATGAACACATATTCTGCCTCTAAAGACAGTACCATATGAAGATAGGTAAATAATCAGACAGTTTTAATAATATGTGGCAAAAGCAATTATATAGAAAAACCACCGAAGCAGAGAACAAGGCTGTCATTCTAACCACCCTGATTGGGGAGGGAAGGAGGAGATAGAGTTTTATCTTAAAGAAGTTAATGTGTGGCCTGAGTAAAATAATATGAGTAGATATTGGCCAAGTGGTAATATTTCTATGTGTTTCCTCTTTACTGGATCTCAAATTTTGTAACTCATCAGATTTAGTAGGGGCCCTCCTACCTTATTTTTAGGCACTCTTCCTGAAGTAGTATCATTGATTCTTTTGGCCATAATTCCCTCTCTGTGCTAAGTATTTCCATCCAGATAGATATCTCCATGGTAGATCTTTCTGAGCTTTTGTAGGGCGTTTGAGGGACTGTGTGGTTAATCAAGGGAAAATAATATTACCACAAGGTGGCAGTAGCTTTACTGGGGGCTACTTTGACAGTTTCTCAGGTCCAGGAAGTCCCTCAAAGCAGCAGTCAGTCCAGAAGCTAAGGGTCAGAGGGTCACTATTCAGAAGGGAAGGAAGGCAAGGGAACTCCTAGGAGGCTTACGTGTCAAGGCCATGTTGCTCAGTGGCATGGTGGGGAGTCTGGGTCAAAGAGCTCCAAAGGGCAGTAGTGGCTTGGGTCTTTATGACTCAAGGGGTTTATCTACTGCTAGCAGCTGTGGGGTGAGGTTTTGTTGGATATGCAAAATAGCCAGATTTTAAATGGTGAAAAATCTGCTTATATAGCCTATTTTAAAAATAAATGCATGTGTAAACATTTGATTTGATCCCCTGGTGGCCTTTCAGGCTAGTGGGTGTCAGCCTATATTGAGGAAATAACAGCCTGCTGATCAATACACACAGGCCATCTTTGGCTTATTGATATAACAGTTTCACATCGGTATAAATCAGTATAATCAAATGCCTATGTATCATCTCCACTGGGGTGTCACATAAATAACATGAAATTAACCTATCGAAGACAAAACTAGTACTTCCACAATTTTTCTTTCTTGGTAAATAGAACTATCATCTAAGACTTGAGGCAGAAACTTAAGGATCATACATGGTTCTTCCATTTCCAATCCAAACCATCAAGAAATTCTATCATTTCTACCTCCTAACTGTCTCTCACATCCAGTTATCGATAGCTACATTACCAACACTCAAGACTAAGCTACATGTATCTCTTGCTTGGATTACTCTAATGTCCTGCTAGGTTGTTCTCTTATTTTACTCATATCTCCTTTCCATAGGTTCTTTATACATCAACCAGGGTTATCTTTTGAAACATGTATTGATCATACTAACTCTTTGCTTAAATACCTTGTAACAGTACCCGGTTCTACACTGAGACTATTCAAATGAGAAAACCCTGCATCATCAGATGTGTAATTCTCCCTCCCAACCCTCACTTTTGCTCACCAGTGTCCAGCTACAGGCCCAATGACTCATGCATGTTCTCTTCCATCGCACCACCTCTTCACTGCTATTCTTTCTGCCTGCAATATGCAGCTCTTTCAGCAATTTGAATAGCTGGTTCCTTTTCTTCCTTCAGGTGTTGCTTAAATGTCACTTCCTTAGAGAGGCCTTACGTAATTGGCTTAACATTTGCCTCAACCTCCCCACCTGCCATCCCCATTATTTTCTCTCATGCTTTCCATTTATTTCTGGTGCAACAGTGATTTCAGTTTGTAACTTAAATATTATGTGTTTGGTTGACTGCTCCAAACTCTCTCTAGACTCTAGGCTTCATACAAGCAAATACTTCGTCTACCATGCCTTGTTCGCTGTTTAAAAAATTTGCTTTTCTTTTAACCAGATATCTAGTGCAGTGCTGGCACATAATTGAATCTAACTAAATATGTGTTAATTGAAATAAAAACATATATTCTTAAAAAATAAGTGAATAAGCACAGTCAGATGAGAAAGTCTTTCTTTTTAAGGGTTAATGATGTTATTGTCTTATGCCATACAGTCAAATACATGACAAACTTAAAAATGCCTTTTTTTATTAGGCCAAGGATTTCAACAGCTATGGAGACTATGAATAGTGCTCGAATGAACACATATGAAAATCATAGCGTTAAATCAATTACAATTCCCTAGCAAGGATGTGGTACTAAAAAGTACACTGTGATCAGTTCTCCAAATTTTTTAGACCGAAGATGATAAAATAAGAGTAATGATCATCATTAGGTGTGTAGAAGATTTATGAGGAAAGGTTTTCTATTTGGGGAAAGAATTAAAAAGAAAAACTTTATTAAGAAGACATAATGATATTGGAGGATCCTCACTTTCGAAAGCATTTCTGGCTATATTCCCTTTTCTTTCTTACTATTTCCAGTGTGTACATTCTCTCTGTTTCCCTTGCTTAGTCTTAATGGAAATTCAATCTCTCTGTATTAGAAGTAAAACTGTCTTAATTTGGAGATGGTGACAGAAATAATAATACAAATAATAATAAGATGATTAGTAAACATTTATTGAGTGCTTCCTATGTTCTCGACATTATTCTAAGGGTTTTAGATGCTCTAACCGATTTAATGCTAAAACAAAGCCTATGACTTAGGTACAGGATGAGTATCCCTTATTTGAAATGCATAGGACCAGGGGTATTTTGGATTTCAATTTTTTTTTTCAGATTTTGTAATATTTGCTATGATATTTACTTCATAATGAGATATCTTAGGGATGGAACACAAGTCTAAACAGGAAAATTATTTATGTTTTATATGCATCTTCTATACATAGCCTGAAGGTAATTTTATTTTCCTCTGGGAGGTGCTGAATAGACTGTGTGTTTTACACCTGCATTTTAACTGCAACTCATCACCTGAGGTCAGGTGTGAAATTTTCCACTTGTGGCATCATATGGTGCTCAAAAGTTTTCAGATTTTGGAGTGTTTTGGACTTTGGATTTTTGGATTAGGAATGCTCGGCCTGAACTATTATGATGTTCATTTTACAAATAAGAAAACAGAGGCAAAGTAAGATGACATAAGTTATCCACAATCTCACAGCTAGAAAATTGTGGAGCCAGGACGTGAAACCAAGCCTTCTGGCTCACAATCCTTGTCATGAATCAGCACAGTCAATACTTACTCCTGTAATTATGTCCTACTCTTGTTGTTTAGTCATCAGAATTTTTTATTTAGGAGAAAGAAGTGCATATGCTATAAGTATGTTCTAAAGATACATAGATTGTGCTGGTAAAGAAGTAGGAGGTTGTAACAGTAAATGTAGGAATGCCCAATTAGTATTTTTGCTATACTTCTTGGAAATCATTAGCTTTTTAATTGTAATAGTTATAGATTTTATCTGTGGGTAGCACCAACCGTGGACAGCAGAGATTTTCTTGTCTTCCCCTTTCCCTTCTCCAGGTAAAAACAAACTGAGAGGTCTGGGAGCCTCTTTCTGGGATAAGATAGATTATAAACCTATGAGATTTTGGAGTGGAGAGGATAAAATTGGCTCTTTTTTTTTTTTTTTTTTTTTTCTTTTTTTTTTTTTTTTTTTTTTTTTTTTTTTTTTTTTTTTTTTTTTTTTTTTTTTTTTTTTTTTTTTTTCTTCTTCTTATTTTTCTCCTCTCTATGCTTTTTGTTCAGTAAAACTTAAGATCTGATATAACTAATGACTGGAAAGAAATCATCACCGTTGTAGATACATTCATTCACCTTTTACTTCTTTAACAAATATTTATGGTACCTACTTCTGTTAGGCTCTGTGTTAGGCTTGGATCTGTAGTGGTGAGGCGAGTTGAGATGAAGAAATTCTGTGGAGGAAAAAAAAAGACGAAAACATAAAAACACACATATGTACACTCATACATATGATATTTGTATGTATTACTTATACATCCATCTTTATATTTTCCATTTACTTTACATACTTATATATAATTTAAACTTGATCACTTTATGTGCTTATTCCATACAAATTTATATGTGTATATAGTTACAAATTATAAGTGCTATAAAGGAAATGAACAGGTTATTTGGCAGATAACAAATTACTAATGATGGGAACTACTAGAAGGGCAATAGTGAGTCCCTGGAGAGAGCTAGGTTAGGGATATTTCTTGATTTAAAGAAAAGTGGCAAAGGGGACTTGAGGTCCCCATGCTTCACATCCTAGCTCCCGGAATCCCTGGTCTGGAATAAAGGAACTACCCAGAGCTGTGTCCCGTGTGGGTGGCCAAAATGCCCATGGATGTAGACACAGAGTGAGCACGTCAGTGTGTTCATTTTCAAGGAAGTAAACATACCAGCACAGATTGGTGAAATCTAGAAGACACTGAGTTTACAAGCCTATGTTATGAACACGCTGTGAGGAGATACAAAAGGAAAAGTACCTTTGACTGCAAAGCTTTGAGTGTAATTGGGTAGAATAAACAGATGCATGAGAAATGACACCAGAGGCAATGGACCAAAATGTGCAAAGAGAGCCATTATAAATAAAATAAACAGAGCATGGCTGAGCTCATCCTTTTTAAAGGAAATGAATTAGAGACATGGCATTTACTTAATTGATGGTGGAGTCAGTGAGAATATATTTAGATGGACAACGAAAATAAGGGCTTAAATTTAGAAAGACAAGCAGAGAGGATGCAACTTCCAGGGAAAAAGAATGTAAACAAGATAATGAGTTGAAAAGCTTTGCCTTAAACGTGTTAAAGTGCTACTGGTTCTCTAAAGTGCCTATTTACCTTATATATCAATGTTCAACAAAGATATAACTACTTTTATGGAGAGGGTATAAACACTAGGCATCTTCTGAAATCAACAGTCTGTTATATGCTTGTTAGTGAAATATTCCTAGTTCTAAAAATATTTAAAAATAAAAACCTTCTATTTGAAGATCCTAATACAAAAATTTGTCCAGCATGAGAGGCCTTGAGACTTTCAGTGTTGTTCAGAACGAGCTTAATAAATATTAATTGAATGATTTTTAGGTGCCAAGGAAGTTAGTTAACACTAAGAATGCAAAGATAAAACAGTCCTTTCTTTATGGAACTTCAAGTCTAATGTGAAACAGTGAAAGAGACAGAGAGAGAAAAAAAAATAAATCATTTCATAAAACACGCTGTGGAGGCATAAATTGAGGCTACAAGCCACAGTCCCCAGACAGTGACGGGGAGAGTTCACAGAATACTCCTGCAAGGATAGTTATTTAGTTTAGAATTTATAACACAGCAAAATAAAGTAAAATAATAAAAAAATCATTTGGGGAAGAAGGAATAGTATAACAGGATGGGTATACCGAAACATGGTGAAAACATTTATAAAACATTGTTTTTAGAAACTCGGCAAGATTGTATGTTTTAAAACTCAAAGTCCAAAATAAGTTTAACAAATTCATGTAGCCCACAACCCTAGTTTGGCAGCTTTGGATTAAGAGTATATTTATAGGATTAATTTAAGCTTTTATGATATGGCATTGCTTTGTGACACAGTTTCCTTCCTCAAAAGAAAGCATAAGGAATGGAATTTTAGAATGATAATAATGAACAGGTCCATATTCCAATCCTGCTATTCTCATATGTGGAAATAGATCTGGAGATGTGTGTGTGTGTGTGTATTTATTTTGAGATGGAGTTTTTCACTGTCACCCAGGCTGGAGTACAATGGCGCAATCTCGGCTCACTGCAACATCTTCCTCCCAGGTTCAAGCAAGTCTCCTGCCTTAGCCTTCCAAGTATCTAGGATTACAGACATGCACCACCACACTCGGCTAATTTTTTTGTATTTTTAGTAGAGATGAGATTTCACCATGTTGGTCAGGCTGGTCTCAAACTCCTGACCTCAGGTGATCCACCCACCTTAGCCTCCCAAAGTGCTGGGATTATAGATATGAGCCACCATGCCAGACCTAAATACTTATTTTTAAGACATACCTTTTCTCTGCTTTATGTGGCCAGGAGGTCCATGGGAAAAGGAAACGTGCTCATCCATAACCCAAAAATTTTAATTTGGCTAGAAATGCTCATCACAGAAGAGAAACTGATTTTTTTTCCTCTAAAATAAATGGCCTGTTTCTTTTTTTAAATTATTATTAAAAAGTAGTGTTTTTCTCTAAGAGAAATTGCCTATGTTAATAGCCTATTTTATAAAACTGAGCTTACATGTAAGACTTTTTATTTGTTATAGTAGTCCATTTCACACATCAGAAAATCCTTGAATTATCCAACAAAGGCTTATTTGCCTAAATAACTATTTTGGCCTGACACTGAGATGTAGAGTTTATTTGAAGTTTTTGTACATTTAGTGATCAGAGGTATTTTGATAAATGCCATTGCCTCAAACTATTCAGTTGGAAGTTTGGGCACCATCTGTGTTTGTTTCTGTAGGAGCAGTAACTGCCTAGAGAAAAATCTGACGCTCATTTCAGGGATGCAGTATAAACAAAATTCAAGATGATGCCTTTAACGTAATTATTCCACCTTTCATTTACATAGTGCTCTATGCATTTCAGAGTGATTTGATGTGCCTTCATTTAACAGATCTTTACAAAACTTGTGGAAATTGAGTATGGGATTCTGAGATATAAAAGCTCAACAAGGAAAATAACATTGAATTTAGGCAGTCTTTTAAGAGAAGATTGTAAAAAACCATATAGCCTCATTTCTTGTTGCTACTAATAGAATATACTTATTGAGAACCTTCTCTGTGGCAGGCACTTTTTCGAGCGCATCACATAAATGAACTCATTTCATCATCAGAGTAATTGTATAAAGTTCTCGTTTTAATGATAAGAAGACAAAAGGACAGAGAGGTTAAGGCACAACTAATAAAATATTTGGGCCTAGGCAGTCTAACAAAATACTGTGTCTCTTAAGCAGTGTCTTCTTTAAATATTTACTCAGCAAGTAACATTCCTAATTACAAAGACGTGTATTTATATTGGGTCTCTTTTTACTTCTAAAATGTGTATGTCACTCCGTGGTGTGCCGGTAAACTGGCTCTCTGCAAAATAATTAAAAAGTCCTGATTTGTAACATTCCTGAATTTCTATGGTATAAGTAGACACACCAGGGTCTCCTTTAAGCTACCAAAATGAAGTCACTGAAGTCTAGCTGAGAAAAGATGCTCGCTTTTGGATCCTATGAGCTTGTATGCGCCCGTGCTAGCATATCATTGACTGATTAAAATTACTGTTGTATTCAAGATGACGTGTATACCATGCACGTGATAGCCCACTCTTGAAACATTCCTAAAACAGAAATTAGTTTGATTTTCAGCTGTTTTATGCCACCCAATATGAATTAATCTGTTTTGGATATGCTCTTGTTCAATCACTGCTTACATAGGCCCGGCGCGGTGGCTCATGCCTGTAATCCCAGCACTCTGGGAGGCCGAGGCGGGTGGATCAGAAGGTCAAGAGATCGAGACTATCCTGGCCATGGTGAAACCCCATCTCTGCTAAAAATACAAAAATTAGCCGGGCACGGTGGCACGTGCCTGTGGTCCCAGCTACTCGGGAGGCTGAGGCGGAAGAATCGCTTTAAACCAGGAGGCAGAGGTTGCAGTGAGCTGAGATTGCACCACTGCACTTCAGCCTGGCGACAGAGCAAGACTCTTATCTAAAAAAAAAAAAAAAAAATTATGTAATCATGTTTATTTTGGGTTGGTTTTCCCTTGAGGATAATCAGGCTTGTCTAGGGTGAAGAAATCACATAGCAACTGGAGAAAGGGGTAGGGAGGCCAAAAAAGTGCAACGACTCAAAAGAAGGCGCATAGAGACAGTAGATTACAGGAATCCTGTCCTGTAACAATAGCTTCTGCCCACGCTCCATCCCCTGGATCTTACCTGCCTCTTTTCTAATACCAAAACAAGTGGCTGTCATCATTCTCAAAGTTGTCTCACACTGAAACTGTTTTACACATGGATGTCCACTGTTAAGCACTGCATGATGACCTCCACTTTTCCCCTTATTTTCAAAAGGAGAATGATGAAAATCAAAGCTTTCTGTCATCAGCTCACTGTACTTTTTTCCTATCTGTGTTTTGCTTTCTTTTCATTCTTTCTTCTTATTTCCACCCTATGAAACTGTTTCCCAAACTATTATAAAATTCCACTGGGAAATTATGAACATCTGACATTGTTTCCACAACAACAACAAAAAGCAAAAGAACCCGGCTTGCCTGGTGCTGGGAAGACGTAATGCAAAGCAAGATAAAGAGTCTCTGTGATCTTTTTGACTGTGTCTTTAAAGCTGCATTATCACCCCAAACCAAAACTAATGACAAAACGAACGTGTCCTACAAAAAAATTGGTCAGTGGGTAGAGGTTGGGGAAACTTTGGAAGCTTTTCTCCTGATCATATTGGTGGCCTCAGTGCTCCCTGTGGAAGGAGTGGTCTGAGAAGCGTGGTTTACCACTGTTCTGGGCATAAACTTGAAAGGAGAAGTCTCCTGTTATTAAAAAGGAACTCTCCTGCAAGTCTCCTTTGCCTTTTCCACCTGTATTCCCTTCCCTTCCATCTTTTTCTTGGAAGGAAAAAGCCTAAAAGCTTACTCCTATAAGCTAATGATTCTTTGCCAGGACAGTGGTTCTGGGTCAAGAAAAAAATAGATGAACAAACCAAAACCTTCATAGCAAAAGTTCTTAAGCCTTCAAATGGAGACTAGTGAAATTTGCCCCCCAAGGTAGAATAAATAAAGCAAATAAATCCAAATATCTAATTCATTCAACAAACAAATATATATTATGCATAAGCCAGTCCACTATGCTAAATATCTAAGAATCCAAATTTGAATAAAACATGAATCCTGTCCTTTGGTAGCTTGCAGCCTAAATTGCATTTATTAGCTCTGATTAGATTTCCTTATTATTGATAAAAATATAAATATAATAATATATAAGTTTTCAGGCAAGCTTTCAATCCTGATTTTTATAAAGCCATATCATAGAGAGGTTAGAAAATAATCGAACATTTTCAGGTATTTATTGTTTTATGTTTTATCATCCATTCCAGCTAAATCCAGCTAGGAATCTGAAATGCAGATAAAAACCTTAAAGACAAAATTTTATTTTGGGCTAAATAAGAAAAAGAAAAAAAATGTTTCTTTTACCTTCTGTCTACATCTGACCTTCCATTCAAATCATTTCTCTTCTATAAAGCCATCTTTTTACATCCCGGCCAAAATTAACTTTTAAAATCTGCATATTTAACATATTAGTATATTACACATATATTTTAATCCAGTGGTTGTTATCCATAGCACACCTCAAAATCACCCATGGAATTTTAAAACACACATGTCCAAGTTCTGACCTCAGAAATGTACTTAGTCAGTGCAGTAGGGTCCTGGCTTCTGTCGTTAAAACACATCATGCATGATGCTGCTATGCATATGTGGTTAAGAACCACTGTTCAAACTACACTGTATAATTTGGCACTTTATAATAGTACAGAATCCACATTTGTGCATTTATATTCTTGTATTCCCAAGTGAACTGTAATCATCTTTTGAGTATAGGCACAGATTTACATTTACCTTGTTTTCTGCAGTATACAGAACTTGCTCTACACTAGTAAATATTTTCT